AATCCACACAGAAAACATGGTTCTAATTCAGTGAGGTGGCTCCTGAGCGGAGGACAGGCCTAAATTCTAGATTCTTCCCACCAGAAGCTTCCCAAGTGCAGGCGGCCCTGACGGCCGGCTGGCGTCCAGCAGAGCGTGACTGTCGATCTGAGGGCGAGGGTGCCGGGGGCTGTCCTCAGGCCTTTATGCCAAGCCACGCCCCTGGGCCTGGGTTCCTGCCTCCGTGCCTGCGGAGCCCAGGCTGGACCACTGACCCTGGGCCCCTCCTGGCCGCAGGCTGTTCCTCTAAGTCCCGGCTCCCGCATGTCCACCTGGGCCTCCCTCTTCCCACCTGTTCCTAGACGTTAACGTTCTCAGCTCCCCACACTCCAGATCGCCCACAACCCCTCTCTGTCTGGCATTCTTGAGGGGCGCAGTCCTGCTTTTGACAAGTGATACCACAAAAGAATCTCTCTGTAATCTCAGCCACTGCGTTCTTGCCAGAACTCCCAAGTACAGGCAGGGACCCGGTCAGGCGATCCTAAGCCCTCCACTGGTGCATGAACTGGGTGGCGGCATGGTCGGGCCGCGCTGGGGGTCCTGCTGGAGATGCTGGTCACACATGCGCCGTGACAGGCCTTCCAGAGCCTAGAGGTGGGTTACGGGGCGTGAGCGGAGGCCTCGTGGATCACATGGGGGAAGCTGCCTCTTTGAACTTTCTTGAATGACCAGGTTTGTAACGCAGTCTTGGCCAGGGCTGTCCAAACAGGTTTTTCAGGTTGCAAGCAGCAGCCTAGGCAGGAACGCGGTGAAGGCAGCCTGTAACACCCCCGGCACACAATGTGCATTTTTCCAAGTAAAACGAGCTGCTGGCTTCTCCGGCCCTATTCCTGCTCCCCGCAGTGAGCCGTGAAACTGGCGACCCTCTCAAAGGGGCCTTCTCCCCAAAGACAATCTGGGGGGGTACCTCCTCACTTCCTGCCCCCCCCCGCCCCCCCGCTGGGGAAGACATCCCTCTTCAGTTACGAAAACAAGCAGATGTTCACTCAGTCAATAGGCCCGGCTTCTCCTTTTAAACAAATATGGACAATACGGTGTCCATTGCGAGCCAGGGGCTCTGGCTCGGGTCTGAGGCCACTCCTGGCTGTGTTCACGTGGACTTGGTGCTCTTGCAGACGAGCAGTGCAGCGTCGGGTTAGGGTTGGGTTAGGAGTGCAGGGGTGGGGTAGGGTTAGGACTGCAGGGGTCTGTTAGGGTTAGGAGTGCAGGGGTGGAATTCTTGGAAGTTGCTCAGATGGGAGACCGGGTACATTGAGGATGTGAGTTGGGTGATAGGTTCGGTGAGCCCTGCAGAGAAACAGACATGCCTGTATTTCACTAAAATGTCCTTTTAGTGTTGAATGTGCTCCGGTTGGGAAGTGCCTCCTGGGCCCCTTGCTCATCGTATACGTGACCCTTACATGGGAGACGTAGTTCTGAGCGCTTGTCTTTCTCTCCGTGAACCGTAGGTCGGAGCAGGAGACGGCGGGAGGGAGGGAATTGGCAGACCCAGGCCCTTCCCTGAAAAGCGTTATCAGCCTGGGAACAGTTCAGATCAGCTGCTATAATTCTGCTTGGCACCCAGACCAAGAACAAAACAATAGAACGAGACAAAGAACGAGAGGAACCCGATCCCCTCACACACACACACACCCCGCTCTTTAGTTCTTTAGTCCTTGCAGCAGGGCCACTGCGTTTTGTAGTCTGGGAGCTACGGTGAGGGGTGAGGCTGCTCCCACATGAGCCCTCCCAGCGAGAGGATGTGGGGAGGGCCATCGACCAGGTGGGACTGAGACCAGCACAGTGTCCTTTCCCTTCGGTTCCTCACTCAGGACTGTCAGTCAGATGCTCTGATTTCCATTTCATTCACCTTCGAAAGGACGTTTCAAGCACATAATAAACCAGCTACTTTAAAGACAGTTTCCACTTTCCAAAAGCACACCCAGTTGGCAGGATATGTTAACTCTGGCTGGGGGAGGGGCGAGGGGGGAGGTGCCGTGTTGTTCTCAGTGAAAGGGAGGAGACACCAGGCAGTTGTGTTGGCTGTGAGTCCGTTTTACCAGACGTGCGGGGACCCCAGGTGCCAGGCCGTTCTCTCCTGGACTCTGGGACTCGAACTTGAACCTGGAACAGTCACTTAGCCTATAGCAGTTCTCTACGGCCAGGACTCGTGAGACCCTCCCAAGTGGGAAGTTTCAGAGTTTGCCTCAGGCTGACAGAGTTTGGGCCGTGGTTAGACGCCTGCCCACCCACTGGAGCCTGTAGGCCTGGCCCCGCCGCAGGCTGTGGGGTGGGAGGTGGGGGAGCGGCCCCTCCAGGCGCAGGGAGACCAGGCCACGCTAGTGAGTCCTCCCTCCCTCCACGCTAGTGTGGGCCGCACTCCAGCCCTGTTATCTGCCCATTCCTGCCCCTGGCCAGGGACTGGCTCTTTGCTCTGTAGGACACGGCGATCTCCAGCCCAGCCCAGCCCACCCCCAGACTGTTCCTAAACTTTTAAAAAGAAAAATCTCGGACACATTGCAGACCAGAAGGTTTCACAATGAGCGCCGCGTGCTGCTGCTGCGAGACCCTGGCGGCTCCCACCTGCCTTGTCCTCCCCAGCAGTGCCCGGGCCTCGCCCTCGCACACCTCCAGGGGGCGCTGCCGCCTGTGCACCTCCCCCGTGCACGTGGCTTCCTGGGCGCAGGGTGTTCTGTTTTCGTTTGATGTAAACTTAATATAATGAAATGTTCGCTCTTAAGTGTCCATTTATTTACTGAGTTTAGACAAACAAATGCCTGTAAAAATCCAAAGTCCTGTCATGATGTACAGCGTTGTCATCACCTTCTGGCATATTTTGAATTAAAATTCTTTAGTTCATTTTGAAATCATTTCAGGTTTTTGAAAGGTTTCAAAACAGTAAATACGGAAGATTCCAAGTGCCCTTCTCTTAGCTGCCCCAGAGTGCCCGTCCGGGTGTCATGGGGAGTCAGCACCCAGAGGAGACCTGGCCATCTGTGGGCGTCCCCCGTCATAACTGCTGTCCCCCGCCATAACCGCTGTCCCCCATCATAACCGCTGTCCCCCATCATAACCGCTGTCCCCCATCATAACCGCTGTCCCCCATCATAACCGCTGTCCCCCATCATAACCGCTGTCCCCCATCATAACCGCTGTCCCCCATCATAACCGCTGTCCCCCATCATAACCGCTGTCCCCCATCATAACCGCTGTCCCCCATCATAACCGCTGTCCCCCGCCATAACCGCCTGTCCCCCGCCATAACCGTTTGTCCCCCGCCATAACCACTGTCCCCCGCCATAACCGGCTGTCCCCCCACCATAACCGGCTGTCCCCCCACCATAACTGGCTGTCCTTGACTCTCCTGCCCCAGGGTCCCACCTGGAACAGCCTGTGCATTTAGTGGGCCCGCCTGCCCAGCCTCCTTCTATCTGGGACAGTTCGCTCGGTCTGTCTGTCTGTCGGGACAACTTGCAAGGAGAAGCCTGGCAAGCACCCACTTCATGCTTGAAAAGTACTGACCATAACTTAATAGAAAGCTTCTCAACTTGGGTCTTTTTTCTCATGGTTACATTCAAGTTTGATACTTTTTCTTTTTTTTTTTTTAAGCCAGTCAAGTTTAGCAGTGGGGAGTTAGTGATAAGTTTGGTACTTTTAAAAAATATATTTTTTATTGATTTCAGAGGGAGAGGGAGAGAGAGAGAAATATCAATGATGAGAGAGAATCATTGATTGGCCCCCACTGGGGATTGAGCACGCAACCCAGGCATATGCCCTGACTGGGAATTGAACTGTGATCTCCTGGTTCATAGGTTGACGCTCAGTCACTGAGCCACACCAGCGGGTGAGTTGGTATTTTGGCGAGGACCCCACGGGCGTGCCGTGCTGTCTGTCCTGCGAGGCCTGCGTGGTGGCCGATGCCAGACCTCCTTGCGGTGCTGCTGACCTTGCTCATGGGTCAGGGGGGGCTGCTGCGCTCCTCCTGCAGCACTTCCTCCCTTCCCAACCCATGCGGGTGTTGGGGGGACACATTGAAACTATAAGCACCCCAGTTCTTACCACACTTTCCTTCTAGCATCCCTGGCGGGTCTTGCAGGAAACAGTGATTCCTCTGGTATTTGAGAAGTGCTGTGCCATGGAAAGGAGAGCGTGTGTTCATTGGAAGGCTGATGGTAGGGGACAGTTCCCCTTCCCCATTGCTCAGCAGTTCCTGTTGCAGGGACTCTGCTTGCTTTATCCTGTGGGCTCTGACCTCATGCTGTAGCTTTGACGTCATTGTTGTTGAGCCCTTTCCTTCCACTTGCTGACATTTTAGAAGAGGGAACACTAATCGGACTATTCCAGGGCTGTCCTGCACTTTCCCTCCAGGCCTGGAATCAGCGCTTTCTCCGAAGACTCTGGTCCCTTAGTCACTTTTTTTTTAAATGTGTGGCCTACGCAAGAGCAGGGCTCACGGTGTAACCCTTTAACTCGATGGCCCTTCTCTGTCCATGTCCTGTGTGTGAACTCCTTAAAAAGAGAAAAAGAAAGAAATCCTGTGGGCATTCAGGCATGAAAGGGGTTCTTAGCTCCGATGTGAGTCACCACTTTCTTGTTCAGCCCTCGTCCTGACACCACGGTCCCGCTGATGAATGGCTGTCAGTGTTACCGAGCTCCCAGAGTCTAAAGAGACCGACTTTCCAGCCGCGCCAGAGAGGCCCTAGTGACGGCCTGGCCTTCGCTCGCGGTTGGACAGCTGACCCTCGGCCCTGTTGGCTGGGAGCCGAGCGGCACCATCCAAGCTCCTGGTGCAGTGATGGCTCTTGTGTCGGGGGGAACCTCCTGATGTCGCTTGTGCGGCCTTTGTGTGTGAGGACACGGGCGGGAGTCGGCAGGACCGTTACCTCCTGGGCTCCTTCACCTCTAACAGTTACTGTCCCGTGTGAGAGCTGGGGCGACAACACTCCCTGCGTGTGTGTTGGGGTGCTGGGGAGCACGTTGGCCCCTGGGGGACAGGGCCCCGGAAAAGCACCTGCACTGAGAAGGTGTGACACTGAAGCCGCCCCCTGGCAGTGCCCTGACACCACTCCTCCAGGCGTGTGTGACCGCTGTGTCCCTCAGAGCCCCCCCCCGA